GAAAAAAAGAGCCATTAGTTAATTGCTGACTTGGCTTTTACCCAGTTAGCCTTTATGAGTGATACATTCAGCTGTAAATTTAAAATAGTCACTTTACTCTTGAGGTGACACAATATGAAATTTTACTTGTTTGGTTCTATGGTTGCAGTTTTTTTCCACACAGGTCCTTTATTTTAACCAATTAGTTCATGGTTTCTTCTACTCTGATAAACTTCATTTTGATTTATCTTTTTATTAAGTACTAGGAAATGATAAAACCTTTCTTGTTTTAAGAAGGATATATAGGCACCCCCCCGTTATTTAAAGCTTGGCTCATTAAAGACTTCTTTTATGGAGGAAAGTAATTTTTATTATATGTGAGTAGGGACCCAGATGCGTAATGGATATTGAAGAAAATTAACAGGAAGCTAACATTTATTGAGCACCTACTAATAAATTGCCAAGTTTTGGACTAAGCGTACACTATTTCATTTAATTCTTATACAGCAATTCTATGAGGCAGGTAAAATTATTAACAGGGCAGAATTACCTTTATTAGTTATAACTGTGTTGATAGCTCCTGTTTCTAATCCAAAATAAGAAAAAATATACATCTTTATTTTTTTAAAATATATCTTTATTGATTTCAGAGAGAGGAAAGGAGAGGGAGAGAGAGATAGAAACATCAATGATGAGAGAGTCATTGATCAGCTGCCTCCTGCACGCCCTCAACTAGGGATCGAGCCGCAACCCAGGCATGTGCCCTGACCGGGAATCGAACCCTGGTCACCTGGATCCTAGGTCGATGCTCAACTGCTGAGCCATGCCCAGCCGGGCTGAAAAAATATACATCTTTAAAATGAGACCATTTATTCCAAGTAATATTTTTAAGTATTATTGGTAGTAGTATTTAAAACCTAGATTGATAAATATGGGAATTCTGTTTCCTTATAGGATAACCCCACTGTGGTAGTGGAAGATCTAAGGCTCTGCACAGTGAAACATTGTGAAGACATAGAACGGCGATTTTGCTTTGAGGTGGTCTCTCCAACAAAGTGAGTGGTTCTAAAGAATTTGAGAGTTGCTTTTATGTTTCTATAGTTTGTCTTAAAGAACTTTCAAGAGTAGAGAAAGATTTGGGTTTCACTTGTGATATTCTGTGCTAACTAAAAAAAAGCATTTTAAAAATAAATTACGTTAATTAGTAATTATAGGTATTAGAGTTAGATTTCTATAACTTGTACCCAGTATCATATTCTTTAAATTCCATAAAGATTATTGGTGTGGCCATATGAAAACTTTTTAACTGTCATGGATGATAAAGTGAACTCATAGATCAGTCTTTTTAAAACTATCATTTTATATTTCTACCCAATAGAAAAAAATGTGCTATGTTTATATGGTAAGTTTGTTTGATTTCTTTCCAATAGGTAACTTACTTCATTGATACCTTGATTTCTTAATGAATACACTCTGTCCTAAAGATAGATGAAATAAAATCTTTCTACAGAAATGATTATTTTTATTAGAAAATTATTAAATAACAAAGTCGGCCAAAAAGTAAACCTTATTATTCTTTGGGTTAATTTAGTGACTGAGAAAACAATGTTATTTCCTTTTAGAAGTTGTATGCTTCAGGCAGATTCTGAAAAGCTGCGCCAGGCATGGATTAAGGCTGTTCAGACCAGTATTGCTACTGCTTATAGAGAGAAGGGTGATGAATCAGAGGTTAGTAAACACTACTGCAATACCAAATGATAAGTAGCCCAAGGTTTTTCATTTTAGTTGCAACATTGTATGATTATAACATTCTTTAAAAATTTTTTAATAGAGTTATATGTAATTGACAAATAACATTTTATTAGTTTCAGACATACACCATAATGATTCATTATTTGTGTATACTACAAAATGATCACCACAGTAAGTCCAGTTAGCATCCGTCACCATACACAGTAACAAAGTTTTTTTCTTGTGATGAGACCTTTTAAGATTTACTCTCTTAGCAACTTTCAAATATGCAATATAGTGTTATTAACTATAGTCACCACACTGTACATTATATCTGCATGACTTACTTATTTTATAACTAGGAGTTTGTATCTTTCGACCCCATCCACTCATAACATTCATCTTTTATGGAGGATTATTTTTTTGGTAATTGAAATAGGGTTTATTTCTAAAATCTAGATTCAATTTCTCTTTTGTTTACTACTGTTGACTTTACCTATCATTAATAAAAATGATATTTTTATTGATTTTTAGAGAGGAGGGGAAGAGAGAGAGAGGAGAAAAACAGTGATCCATGTGAGATCCAAGCATCCATCAGCTGCCTCCTGCATGCCACGTCCCCTACTGGGGATCGAGCTCAAAATCCCAAACCCCAGGCATGTGCCCTGACCTGGAATGGAACCAGCAACTTTTTGGTGCACGGGACAATGCCCAACCAACTGAGCCACATCGGCCAGGGCGGCTTTACCTATCATTTTATTTTAATATTTCAATATATGTTTAATTCCATATTTGAATATTGTCCCAGTTTGACATAAGATATTCTGACGCAAGTATTTTTCCCAAATATTATTTTAATTAATAATAAAATATTGACTTGTGAAAGGTATTTAAAATTAAAATTGGGTAAAAAGTAAAAAAAGAAGGCTCAAATTGTCTCTTAGTTGAAGTCTTCCTGCAGGAGAAGATAAGCTGAATATGGACTCTGGAGTCATAGTCTGGCTTCAGCTTCCCAGTGAGTTTGCAAACTCTTGAGCAAGGCCAGCAGTGAGTCTTGAGAAATGGAACTTACCACTTTGTTCAGGTGGATCCTGAAAATGAGTCTTTTGTGAGTCCATGCATGTCTGAAAATGTCTTTATTCCATTGTCGTATTTGTTTGATAGCTTGGTTGGGTTAGAATTTTTAGGTTGGAAATAATTATTCTTAAGAATTTTAGCTGCATTGTTTTTCTAGTTTCCAGTGTTGCTATTGGAGTCTTTCTTAGTACTATCTTTTGTAGTATTCCTCTCCAATTTCCCTGTTTGTTTGTTTCTGCCCCCTGGAATTTCTTGTCTTATCTTAGGATTTTCTAATTTTTTGTGTATTTTTGCTCTAATTTCTGAGAGATTTCCTCAGTTAATAATCTTCCAAACCTTCTATTGAATATTTCAGTTCTGGTAGCACATATTTCATTTCCGAGAGTTTCTTTTTGTTTGCTGAATGCTTGTACATGTAAACCTGTTCTTTTTTCATGGCTGCATTGTTAGAGCCTTGACTATACATTATGATAACACAGGGAGCCTTAAGAAAAATCCCAGTATTAGAGTACACCACTGAACAGCTGAATGGAGTTGGAACCCAGGCATCAATATTTTTTAAAGATTCCTAGGTGATTTCTGTGTACATGTAATGTTGAGAACTATTGTGTTAGAGGCTTTCCTTGGCTATCTGGCAACCTGCTCATGATTACAAGGTAACTGAAAACCTGTTTGGAAGCTCTGAGTACATAGTTAGGACTTTGTTGACTGTGAGCTTTGCTAAAGTCTGGAGCATTTATTTTTTGAGGAACAACCAGAGTTAAGAACTTTGGAGTCTTTTCAGCAAGTGTGATTCCCTAGAAAACACTCACCAGTCTCCTGCATAGGGCTCTAAGGGGCTTCCTGGGAACTCATTATTGGGAGTCTCAACATTTAGTGTGTATATATTCATTTAATCTTCTGCCTTCCACCCTTTCAGGTAAACCCCATCCACATACTCTCTGTTTGACTTCACCAGAGAATAAACTTTCAGTCATTTTAGTTTATGAGTAGAGAGCAGTCCCCTAATGGCACAGAGTTGGGGAGGGGATCTGGGACTCTAACTGCTTGTTAAACAATCATTCTTCCACCTTTTATTCCTACTTCCAGGGTTAACTAGTATAAATCAGCGATTTTCAAACAGTGTGCCACAAGAATTTTTAAAACGTGTAATACCGGACTATTTAGTCAGGTGCACTGACCTCTTTTCCCTTAGATTGTCAAATAAAAAAATGACAAGAGCCAATACAACAATAGCCATCTAGTGTGTATGAATCAAAATTATACCTATTTTTTGTGTGAGATCAGCAAAAAATACATTTTTTGGTGTGCCGCAGAATTTTAATAATTAGTTTATGTGTGTGCCATGAGATGAAAAAGGTTGAAAATCTCTGGTTTAAGTTCTTAAGCCCTCTGAATGTTACATGATGTAAATTGGTGAACTCTGAGATTTTTCTTACTTACTATCCTTAGATTTGGCCTTGGTCTGTTCAGTTACCATTTACCCATTTTCCAGCACATCTCCTGGATCATAGGTTGATGCCACACCGACTAGACTAAACCCAAATACCTTTTAGGTCATATCTTTAGGATCCCCAAACTACATCTTTCTATTTGTTTATTATTGGTATAGACTTTTCTATGAACTTAAAAAATTAGCTTTTTGCTTATCTGCCACCTTTTGCTTGTTCTAATAGCTCATGACATTCTTAGATATTGTGTATTCTATTGTTGATTCACTCTGTATTTATAAGTATGTAACCAATCTGTTCTTTAGTAAAGGCCCGTACCACTTCCAGTTACTCACTGAAGCAGTTGAAACAACTTTCTTGCAGTTCATTGAATACCTTGGAAAAACTTTGTATAAAATAATACTTACTTTATTCTTGAGTCTTAATAGTCTCATGTTTATTCCCTCTGTTTCTCAATTTGCCTCTTTAATAAGTGTTCTCCTTTCTCTTTGACATTGTATCTTGTACATATGTTCATTGTATCTGTGTGTGTGTGTGTGTGTGTGTGTGTGTGTGTGTGTATGTATATATACAGGGTGTCCCAAAAAATGTATACACACTTTAACAGCTGATAGCTCAGTTTTGAAAATGAAATGTATTTTAATAAACACTGTCTTTATAATTATTCAAACTGTGTATATATTTCTCCCACAAGACTAAAAGCCAGTTGATGGAGGAATCTGTATCTTTCCATTTTTTAAAAAATTGGTTTTAGAGAGAGAGGTAGTGGGGGAATAAGAGAGACAAAGAGAGAGAAACATGAATTAGTTGCCTCCAGCACATGCTCCGACTAGTGATTAAACCTGCAACCTGGTATGTGCCCCGACCAGGAATCAAACCCGCCATCTTCTGGTGTACAGGACGACACTCCAACCAACTGAGCCACTTCAGCCAGGGCTATCTTTCCATTCTTAAATCTCTAATGCCTCCAACAGTGCCTGGTTTAGGTCCATAGTAGGCCTTCAATTTATTGATCAGAATGCAACATGTATTATAATTTTTTTTAAAACAAATACAAATAATTTTTAATTCTTTTAGAAGCTGGATAAGAAATCATCTCCATCCACAGGAAGCCTGGATTCTGGAAATGAGTCAAAAGAGAAATTATTGAAAGGAGAAAGTGCACTGCAGCGAGTCCAGTGTATCCCTGGCAATGCCAGCTGCTGTGACTGTGGCCTGGCAGACCCACGGTGGGCCAGCATCAACCTGGGCATTACCCTGTGCATCGAGTGTTCTGGGATTCACCGGTGGGTAGGCCTGCCCAGGGTGAGGGACTTCTTTTGGATAAACACACATTGTAAATTATCATATCCCATTGGTTAGAAGGCCTTTTCCCCTTGCCTAATTTGACTGCCAGTTTGTATTTTTTTACCTCTAAAGTGGATACAATTCTGGTTTGTGAAGAGCTTTTGAAGATTTTGTTTCACCATTCTTTGTATTAAATCAGAAGATGTAGTCCTATATATATATATGTGTTGAGGGCTATATTAGAGACTGCCACATTGTAAGAGAAAATTAATTTGCATAATAAGCAAATGGAAGTTGATAGTTTTATATATTAACAAAGTCTTTTTTCCCACTTAGGAGTCTTGGAGTTCATTTTTCAAAAGTACGTTCTTTAACTTTAGACACCTGGGAGCCTGAACTTTTAAAGGTAAAATAAATATTTGCTAAAAAATATTTCATATTTTCACATAAAAGTTCAGGAATTTAGAACCTTTGTTTACAAATGTATGAGTTTTTCAGTGCTAACAATGAACTATATTGTTTTGGAACATAACAGGCTATTTTGACAAATCTGCTGTTTTCATAGTGGGTTTTAAAAATTGCTAAGTTTATGTAGTAGCACTCTTAACTCCAAGTCAATTCACTTTTTAAGGAAACTAGTGTTCCTACATTTTTATGCTTTCTCAAAAAATATCTTAGGTTCTGTGCCTTAATTTTAATCTTTTATAATTGTATAAATTCTTGATAAAAATGTGAGACATATTGCTATAGTAAGCTCTATAATGGATTGGCATGTTGTTTTCAGTATGTTGTTTTCATGGGGTTATTTTAGCATAGGACCATTTGCAAATTTACATTTGTCAGGGTAGTAGTCATCAAATCAAGACATCCTTTTCCTGTGTGTAAGGATTCATATCTATGAAAATATCGCAAATAATTTTAGATCACATCTGGGGTTCTGATAAGATTTACAAAACTCATAAGTTAATATTCCTTTTAATTCCCCCCACTTAAAGGTTGCAGTATATTCTTCATTTATTTCATCTGAAAATTGTGTTCTTAATGTGCTTCTCTTTTTATTTCAATCTGTAAATAAACTGGTAATCCTGTCAATTATGTAAAGTAAAAAATTTGCTTTGTGAAATTATTCTATAAACGTCTAAATGAAAGTGATAGATTGGCTCCTAAGGTAGAGCCCTACTTACATAGACTCTATTAATTGCTATGAATTCAAAGGTGAAGAAAGTGGGGGGAGAGGGGTAGAGATCTAATTTCTGCATCAACTTTGTGTATAGATATGAACTCAGTGGGTTCAATTTAGAAAATTTGAAACAACTGTGATGTATTAAAAAAATATGACTGAAACATTTAAAGAAAATATTTTGAAATACTTATATATGAAATATGAGGGGAAAATAGTTTACTTCAGTTCTGAGTTGTTTAAAACTTGACCTGTCTGGCCTTAGACTTATTTCTTATTTACTTTACCAGACACTGTGAATAATATAGAGGATTGTGCTAGCCATGGTGGGGGAACAGAAAACTAGTAGCAGGTGGGAGAGGAGAAACCCTTTCCTGTAGGAGTGGTAATCTCCAGGAGAGGTAGAATGGCAAATGGTGGTATTGCTCTCAGCTCGATTCATTTTGCTTTAACTTGAAACTTCTTTGTGGAATGAGAAGTTACAGAATATGCAAAAGGATTAGCTAGCTGTACTTGCTCTAATGACCTTTATAATATTTTTAGGAATTTCTAGCTTATTTTTCTTTTCCCTGCCAAACAGCTTATGTGTGAGCTGGGAAATGATGTTATAAATCGAGTTTATGAAGCTAATGTGGAGAAAATGGGAATAAAGAAACCACAACCAGAGCAGAGGTACTATTTCAGTTGTCTCAACTTGTCATCTTCTTTTTGCCTAATTAGCAATATAGCTTTGATCTTATTTTACTATAATTGATATGTAATTATGAAACAGACTGTTTAGAAGAGATCGGTACTGCCTCTGTTAACATGTGGCTAGATAATTATCTTTTATTGATGAGACAGTCAGTTATAGTCTCCAGATGAGAATCTTAAAAATTAAGGTTCTATGTAGGAATGTAAAAGCTCTTAGCAGTTAAAGTAGACCAAAGTTTCATTAGCTGCCAGCCTTTAAAAAGAGATAATCTGTTCATTAATGTATCTAAGGATCAAGTTTCTACTATATCCAGTGAATAATTTTACATTTTGAGACTTAGTTCAGCAAGTATTTGTTAATCACTTGCATTATGATGCTGTAGAATTAAAGGTGACAAGGTAAGGAAGAGTACTTAATTGCTGTGTTTGAAATTATACTTCTATTTCTATATACGGAGGCTCATTGAATAGAGTGGCTAAGGGTGCCTTCAAGATACATAATTTGTTTTTCTTTTTCTTTTTTTTTAATGTTTTTAGTCTTTATGATTCTTTAGCATTAAAATTTTATGTCATAATCCTATGTTGAGATTTTACATTTGACTAAATCCTTATGTATAATCACTATTATTTTAAAGTTATTGCTCTCTAAAACAATATCACTTAAATCAGATTATTTATTAGCTAGAGCATGGCTGTTTGAGTTACTTTAGACCTTGAAATATCCTGTTTTAGCCAAAGACCTAAGCATTTTAAAAAGATATAAGAAAAGGAATAGAACAGTCTTGGCATTTTATGATTCTATAAGAAATCAAAAGTGTAAAATGTCACATCTTTTCCCCTGCTTAAGTTAGAAATACTATGTTGTTTTAAAGTAGTTGTCTTGTGAAAAATTATGACCATCAGTAGTGACAGTTCAGTATGTGACATTATTGGAGTAAAAACGAAATTAAAGCACAAAGGCCTATATATAGAAATGAATGGGTACAGAAATTTGGACAAGAGAATGCCACATTAATATTTGTGATTTTTTAGTTAATCGTTTCTATTTTATTTGAACATGAAATCATAGCTCATTAACTATTTGGAAGGAAAGTGCTGCATAGTGTCATAGATTCAGTTTTAACTGGCATTATATTTAGTGACTTGGTTTGAAACAGTCAATATGTAATGGCTTCTTTCAGTATTAGTCATGCTCAGAGACTAAGCAGAACATCATGGCATTTTTATGTTTAGCACACAGGAGAAACAGGCATATATCAAAGCAAAATATGTGGAGAGGAAATTTGTGGATAAATATTTTATATCATCATCACCTCCTGAGCAGGAAAAAAAGATGTTCTCCAAAAGGTGCGAAGAAAAGAGGCTGAGCATTTCTAAACTTGGGCCAGGTGACCAAGTCAGAGCATCTCCCCCAAGTTCAGGTATTACAACTTACTTGTGTATATAAATATTTTCAAATGCTGATGTCACTTTCTTAATATCTGAATTAGTAGCCACTGTAGATTTTTTAAGTGCCAAAAACTATTTTCTCCTACATATTCTAAGGAAAAATTGTATTTCTCTGTCTTTAAAACTATTAAATTTAAATAGGTCTTGGTAATTCAGATTTTTAGGTAATGTGTATATTCTAAGGAATAAAACTGCTTAAAATGCAAGGGGAGATGGGAATTATAAATCTATCATGGCAGAAAGCCCTAACTATCTGATTAACCACCTAACATCCTTCCTATTTTTTCCTTCTAAATTTTTCCCAGTAACGTTTTTTTCCTGCCCTTTTCCCTTCTTATGGCCTGCTTTGTGCTTTGCTAACTTGCATGTCCCCAGTGGTTGCTGTAAATAGCGACGAGGCCAGGCGGGAGTCTCTGTTCTGTCCTGATGAGCTAGATTCACTCTTCTCCTACTTTGATACCTCTTCAAAACTACGTAGTAGTAAGTACTACTCTTGTGGAGCATTCCAAGTCTGTGCCAGTGGTCATTGTGCATTGTGGCCATTTCTCTAGATGTCACCCATTGTCTCAGGATTACACATTACTTACAGTCATACAATAAGCTAAGCTTTTCACTACCCCTTACATCTAATGGGGTAATGAGATGTATTACAACTCTGAAAATAAGTTTATTTTCAGGCTTTGTGATTGATTCATATTTTGATAAGCTAAGTGCTCAAAAGGATTAAAATTGTATTAAATGTATTCTACTTGTGGTGGCTGAGTTCACACTGGTGTATCAGAGTTAATTTTAAACCCTTGTTGTTTGTGGGAGGTTGTTTTCTTAATGACTTTTTAAAAATCACTAGCTGATTTTTCTTTTAAACAGTCAAAAGTAATGACAGTGGAATACAGCAGAGCTCTGATGATGGAAGGGAATCTTTACCCTCTACAGTGTCAGCCAATAGTTTATATGAACCTGGTGAGTTTTGGTGAAATTCAGTGTTATTTGGTATTATTTGCTGAAAAATGCATATGTTAAATGCCTAGTCTTGGTTAAATAGTTTCTAAAGGAAGTGATTAGTCTTTTGGAAGAAGGAGTGATACAGTTAAATGAAAAGGCAGCTCTTTTCATATTTGAAAGTTCTCTCCTTGCTATACAGTCTTCTGAGCCTCATGATATATGCTAAAAGTACCTTGTCAATGGCTAAGGAACATTTTTTTCTTAAATTTTTATTTATTTATTGATTTGAGAGAGCGAGAGTGAGATAAACAGACACATTGATTTTTGTTCCACTTATTTGTGCATTTCATTGGTTGATTCTTATATGTGCCCTGATTGGGGGACCAAACCCACAATCCTGGCATACTGGGACAATAACCAACTGAGTTACTCGGCCAGGACTAGCTAAGAATAATTTTTAATCCACATATGTCTCTTTTTTTTTTTTTTTTTTTTTATATTTNTTTTTTTTTTTTTTTTAAGATGTCTTTATTGATTTCAGAGAGAGGAAGGGAGAGGGAGAGAGAGATAGAAACATTAGTGATGAGAGAATCATTGATCAGCTCCCTCCTGCACACCCTTGACTGGGGATGGAGCCCACAACCTGGGCATGTGCCCTGACTGGGAACTGAACCTCGATCTCCTGGATCATAGGTCAATGCTCAACTGCTGAGCCACGCCGGCCAGGCTCCATGTATGTCTTATTACTCTTCTCTTTTTTTGTGGCTATTTTTTCTTATTGGGAGAAAGAGATCAGCAACTCCCTTCCATGAGTTTTTTTTGTGCTTTACTGACTTGTGCTTTACTCCTATATTCTCTCCTTCGTGATTTTTAGTCATTTTGGTCTTGCAGAATGCTCAGGGTAGTAAGTGTTCTTCAGATTCTTTGAATTCCTTGTACTGCAAATTCTGATGGTGTTGGATCATCCTAGGACTAAAGTAAGGTGTCATCTGGTAGTAAAATTCTTTAGGGATTCTTACTGTCTCTTCCAGTCTTTAAGTCTAGGCTTATAGGAATATACCTAATTTTAATCTAGTAGAGTGATTAACCTACCTATTGGGTAGTGGCAAGACCACGAAAACCTAACATACCAACTTTTTATGTGTTTATAAGAGAAGAAAGTTGACTGCTTGGGGAGTGACTAGTCTATTGGAAATAAAATATCTTTGTGAAAATCTCCAGTCAGCTCATTTTGTTAAATTAGTGGTTTCTCATGCCACAGCTTTCACATTGTTATACAATTAAGAGTTCATTTAAAAAAAAATTGTGGTAAGTTACACATAATGTAAAATTATCATCTTACCATTTTGAAGTGTACAGTTCAGTGGTATTAAGTCTGTTCACATTGATGTGACTCACTGTCTCTACTATCCATCCACAGAACTCTTCATCTTACAAAACTAAAGCGCCATGCCTATGAAACAGTAATTCCCCATTCTTTCCCCCCCCAGGAGCTCATTTTTGACGATGTGTTTATGTTTGCTTTTCAGAGGGAGAAAGGCAAGATTCTTCTGTGTTTCTTGACTCTAAACATCTTAATCCAGGACTCCAGCTTTATAGGGCTTCGTATGAAAAAAATCTTCCTAAAATGGCTGAGGCTTTGGCTCATGGTGCAGATGTGAACTGGGCTAATTCAGAAGAAAACAAAGCAACACCACTTATTCAGGCTGTGTTAGGGGTATGAATTTGTACCTTGAGGTTTTCAGTAGTTAGTAGTAAAACATGTAAAAGAACAATTCATTCAGAACATGGCTTTAGTATTATTTTTTGTTTTAAGAGATGGTTTGGAAAATTGAAGAAGAAGCTACTAATGATTTCTGGGCATCACTCTGTGAGCTCAGTTTTTTTTCTTAATGGAAGAGAATTCTGGTAATGAAAGTAGTGTGTTTTGCTAGATCACAAACTGCAGATTGACTTAGAAGTAGTTCTTGGGAAGAAATAATGTAATTTATCATTTTTCTACTTTTACTGGGGGGTATTTTCTCTTTCGAGGAGAATGAATTAGAAAGCTGTTAGAATAAAGTAAACACTGTTTTTAATGGAAATATATTGTTGTGTGTTTTTTGTACATTGTTTTCTTCTTTCCTCTAAGGGCTCTTTGGTGACATGCGAGTTTCTCCTGCAGAATGGTGCTAATGTAAACCAAAGAGATGTACAAGGGCGGGGACCACTACACCATGCCACTGTCTTAGGGCACACAGGGTAAGTGTAGTGCTTACATATTTAAGTAGGTTTTACTTGAAAAATTACTTTGAAATAATGTTTTGCTTTAAGAGATGGGTTGGAAAATAGAAGAAGCTAGTAGTAATTTCTGAGTATCACTTTGTGTAAGTTCAGTTTTTTTTCTTTAAAATTCTTTTTTACTTGTTTTTTAGAGAGAGGGAAAGAGAGAGAGAGAAAGGGAGAGAGAGAGAAAGAAACATTGATTTGTTGTTCCACTTATTTATGCATGCATTGGTTGATTCTTGTATGTCCCCTGACTGGGGATCGAACCTGCAACCTTGGATTATCAGGATGACACTCTAACCAACTGAGCTACCCGGCCAGGGCTATCAATTTGTTTTTCTTAATGGAAGAGAATTCTGGTAATGAAAGAGTGTAAAATACAAGTCTTTTGCTAGATCACAAACTTTTTCTCAGATTAAGGCCAGTAGGCAGAGTTTGTAAAATGATACTTTCCTATGACTTATAGTGTCATGATGGAATTTGAAATTTTTAAAATCTCATTCAGAAAAAAATCTGTTACTTTTTAGATAAGAAAATTCCAAAGCTTACTTGGAACTTCACTTGTCATTTATATCAATCAATTTCAATATTTAAAACTTAGTGAAATTATGGCAATTTTTGTCAAACAGCTTTAAGTCTGTGTTTTATTTATGCATGTATACATACATTGTGTACATAACACATATTTTATAACTTTGTACATTTTAGTTTTCCCACAGTGTAGCTAAAGTCAAATTTTAAGGTAAATTTTTAATCTGTGCTATTGATACTGTAACTTCTTGGAGCAATATTTAGACTCACAAAACAGTAATGCCATGAAAATAGATTTTCTATTAGAGGGTACAGATGAAGTCCCAATGTTGTCCTTATATGAAAAGTTTGTGGATGGGTGATTGTTCTTTCATAAAACATCTCAGGATATCCAATTTATTACCTTGACAAGCAAGCTGTTATTTTTTCTGTTTATTTATAGCATCTTCTCTTATTTGTTTTCTTTTCTTTTATCAGTCAAGAGATTCAGTTCAATAACTTCATCATAAAAACTTTTCTATACTTAGAAACGATAGTATTTAACTCATTCTCTATTTTCTTCTTGAACAATCATACTTCTTCCCATTTTACTTCATGGACTCCATTTACTCTTTCTTTCATTTTTTAAAATTTTTATCAACTTCTTCAAGTTATAATATTTGTGGAGTATAGCGGAAGGATTACTTCCTATTCTGCTACTGTATATATCATTAATATATTGTGATGTTAACATTACCTTGGCTTCCTTCTTCCCTAAATAATGACCTTGAGTGATTTTTGTTGTAAGTTTATAGATATCTCTGTATATCTTTTTATGATATTCTTTGAGGGTAGAGACCATAATTTATACATCCTATTATGCCATATAGCAACGTTAAATATGAAAATGTCTCTAGACTTGTAAAATGCTGATTATGGTAAATTTCTATTATTAGAGTCAGTGTTCAATAAATATTTGTAGAATGAATAAGAACTTGCTAATGGCCCGGCCGGGCGTGGCTCAGCGGTTGAGCGCCGAGCTAGGATCCAGGCAATCGGAGTTCGATTCCCGGTCAGGGCACATGCCCGGGTTGCGGGCTCGATCCCCAGCAGGGGGCCTGCAGGAGGCAGCCAATCAATGACTCTCATCATTGGTGTTTCTATCTCTCTCTCTTCCTCTCCTTTCCTCTCTCTGAAATCAATAAAGATATATTAAAAAAAAAAAAAAGAATTTGCTAATGAAAATGTTATTTCTTTAAGTTAGGTAGTGCTTTTTATTTTTTAAGGTAAATACTAACTTATTTCTTATTAGCATTATCTCAAAAATGCTGTTTGCTTAAAACAGGCAGGTATGTTTATTCCTAAAACGAGGTGCCAATCAACATGCCCCTGATGAAGAAGGGAAAGACCCATTGAGTATAGCTGTGGAAGCAGCCAATGCTGATATAGTGACCTTGTAAGTTTTTTCTTTTTATTTTCTTATTTCCCATGCAATATATCACTTGTATAGGGTTTTAGTGTAGAGTTTCCTGTGTAGGTATGAACTTTAAACTTGGCCGGTTGTTTACTATATACCATATACTTCTCTAAGTACATTAAAGGTATTAAGCACTTTACATACATGAATTTTGTTCTCACAACAAGCCTATGAGGGAGGTATTATTATTGTTAGCCTCATTTTATAAGAAAGCCAAGCCACAGATAATTTGAAAAACTAGTAAGTGGTAGAGCTGGGATTTGAAACCAAGAATTCTGGCTCTAAAACCCATGTTCTTAGCCACTTCTGTTATCCTGTATGACAGGAATAGAAAACCAATGATTTCTCTAAAATGGATTCTTTAAGTCTTAGTACATATTGTGATGGGGATTGGATTGGTACAGTAACAGGCAGTTATCTTGCTACTTCGAGAATTGAAGGATTATAAATTAGGGAGGACACCTGCATTGGTGTTAGTAACTATTGCAGTTGCACTGCTTTTGGACGATGATACTTATAGATCTGTTTGTACTTATTTTTAAAAAAATACTCTATTTTAAGCTAAAAGTGCTTATTTTTGAATATTTGAATACAACTTAATATGATCTGTTAATGATTTTTGAGATCATTTTAGATCAAAGTTATTTGTTACTTTGGAATCTAGAAATGTGATTTCACCTACTTGTCATTATTATGTAGGAAATCTCAAGGATATGTTGTATGCAGTTACTTCTTCTTTCTATTCTGGGCTGAATGAAGCCCAGAATTATTGATCCTCTGTTATATGAGTAGAGACAGTTCCATTCACACTACTAAATCTCAGTCACTTGCAAGGAGAAACTCCCACGACTGCCTTGAACTCCTGAGCTCCCACTGAGAATTCTTGACTTGCAATATATCACCCTACCCTGACCCCTGCTGAATTAAAAAAAACCCACATCCTTTCTCTGTGCTCAATTTTCTTTTCCCACTGGAGGGGTTATTGTTACTGTGCAGGCTATTGTAAGGAAATTTTAGAACTATTTAAATCATTATAGATTTACAATTTAAAAAAGGTAAATTATTAAAGAAAAGATAGGGATAGTATAGAGAAATGAATCTTGATTTTGCAGGGTTCCCAGCCAGTTTTTATAGTAATAGCCCCTCTTCCTCAAAGGTAACCTGTTAACAAATTACCTAAATTTTCTCGTATTACTTCGTGTGAAGACTTGAGTTTCACTTAAATAATTTTTGAAAATATACGTCCTCTCTGAAAAGTTGAAATGCTAGAGGGAGGATTTCGGCGCCATTATTAATTCACACATTGGCTGAAAATGGAGATGGAAGGGATTTGTGGTACTCTGGAGATCGGGAAAGCCCACGTCAGATGCTGTGTTGCTAGGAAGAACATGTTGGAAGGGAGTGATAGAGGTCTGGTAAGGCAGTACAAAGTAAGAGAGGGGTACCAAGGGCATCATCTGTCTGTTTCGAAATGTCGTTTAAAGTCAGTAAGAAAATGGGACGAATCTTCCTAACCCAGTGATGCATGTCTCCCTGCTGCCAGGATGAATAACCCCAAAAAGAAGGCACAGCCGGTGTGGTAACCTTGGGAAAATCTTGGTCACCCATGGTCATTACTATGTTTGTATATCAAAGTATATTCCCAGTATTTAGAGATAGTACACACTGTTTATATGTCCCGAACTACCTCACCTTGAGGTGAACCAGAATGAACTTACGACAGGCCATTGCTTCCATGCTATAGAAGCAATAGTTTCAGCAGTTGGCGGTTAAAGTTTGATAGGCTGCTGTAGAAGCCAGGAATGCTCAGGGGTCTGGAGGAAGCAAGCTGCCAAAGGTGCTGCAAGAATCCTGCTTAAATAAAGCTGAAATGCACTTGCTGTCTTCTCTCATGAGAACTGTGTAAAGCGAGATACAATTATTTTTATATCTCAGATGGCTGGGTCTAATAAAATAAAAGGCTGTTTATTTTAGTGGCAAATATGGGTTAAAAAAATTATACTAGTACACGTTTTACCTGCTTATATAATTCATTAGTTTATGAATATTTATATTGTATAACTTCATCTAAAAGTGCTTTTGTTTAATTTTAGGTTACGTTTAGCAAGAATGAATGAAGAGATGCGGGAATCAGAAGGACTTTATGGACAGCCAGGTCAATATTCTACTAATAACCATACCGAAATGCAGTATAAGAAATGCATTCAGGAGTTTATTAGTTTACAATTGGAAGACTCATAGTTCTTTAGCAAACTAACTAAATATTAGAGAGTTTTTATAACTTGTAAATTGTGAGTTGTTAAATATGTACTGTACCTATTGAATCCTTGGGGGTGGTTAACTCCTGGGCCTTTAAATATCCTCAGCTATTGCCATTACGGTCCCCAGTCACTCGCTGTGTTTAACCCTGGCTGCTGAGCTCTTTCTCTGCCGTACAGATGTCTTCCATATGCATTCCAGTGAAGTGAACGGGATGAGAACATCTTTATACACTTATAGCAGCACAGTAGTCATTTTCTCTTTGAGGTTCTCCTCAACTGTCAAGTGAATATAAGAAAATGGTTTTCTTTTTGTTATTCAGGGAATTTCTATAAATTGTGTTCAGGGAAAAAACAAATCACCATGTTTCGCAAATAAAAAGTCAGTATGGAAAATACCTAGCAAATGAATTAAGAGTTTTGTACTGTGATATAATCATGAATTGAAGGTTTAAAATAAAATTTACCAGGAGGTTAGGAAGTCCATACTGGGAGTAGAGTAAGTTTAAAAGGTAGAGAGAAAAGGCCTCATTTTCCTTGTAGCTTTGCCCCAAGCAGTCGTACAAGATCTGTGGATAAATGGAAGTTTTTGGAACAGTATTTCATGAACCTGATGGCAAAGTAGACTTATTCCTATTAGAGAAATCTAACTCAGGATCAGCTTGTCTCATTTGGAGTAATTTTCACCCTTGAGTGGCGATGCTGAGAAAAGGAAGAAATGCTGTGGTCAGATTCCTCTCTTTGGTGAACATCAAATAACTGGCTCTGCAATGTTAGGAATTCGAGGACATGAGTTACTAATGTACCTGTTTAAATTCATGTACATAGTAGACATCTTTGGAATTCATAACTAAAATAATTGAAATTGTTCAGTATATTTGATTTTTTAATGAATATTAATATATTATTTAAAAGCAGGTTGATAATATCTGTTTTTGTTTAAATATGTTTTGAAATTTCTGTACTTTACTAGCTTCAGCCATTTACTTTTATTTTGATCAGATAACATATAATTAACAGAAATATGAGACCATTCTTTTCTCAGAGGACTGTATTGACTACTTATTTTTGGTCTAATTTAAGAGGGAACAAGTAACTTTGAGAATAGAGGAACTTCATCTAGATACTTCTAATCTAGAGTGTCCCATTTAATCCTATGGATCAAACAGTGCTGCTGACTCATGATATACCAAGATATAAGAGAGCTGATTAAGGGTGAGGTCTCAGTGTTAATTCTGAATTTCACCCATTTGTTTTAAACTTGAATGTTAGATTTTAAATGTTAATATTTCGTAACATATACTTAAGTTATAGTATTACTGGGCCATTTTTGAGGCCTTTGTGTTTAAGCACTTTAAAATAAAAGTTATTCAAAGGCTATGGCCAATATTTATGAGATAAGAGTGATCTTCAAGATTTTAAGTTAAACAATTTTTTCCCCCCTGAAATTTCAAACTTAAATGTTTGGTCAGCTGCTCTTTCCTTAAGGTGTTTGCTGATGAAGTTACACCCAACTGATTAGTCAGAAGGTCAGTGGTTGACTTTTCTCTGGAGTTGGGAAGCTTGAAAGGACAGGGCCTCTATGTTCTTGCAACTTCTAGTTCCACCCAAATTGCTTGGGCTTCTGTCACCATTTAGGAGCATTCATATGTCTCTTTCACTGTCGTTTTATGTATAAGTTTATGAGTATATACTTTCCACTCATCTGTAGAAAAATAGACTTTTGCAATTTATTTGAATGAAAATTTGGAAAACAAAGCCTCATTTTAAAAACAAACTTTCCTACTACTCTCAAATTTCAGTTTAGAGGTTAAAAAATAGATTAGAATTCTGGAAATGGTATATCAGCAGAATAAAATGAAATTTTGATCTATTTGAGGATCATCTTGATAATTAGATTTTTCCAATTTTTCTAATTAGATTTATTTAGAGAGTCGTATATTTAAAGCAGAACAATTTTATGCTTATACAGGCGACATGGTGAAATGGCACAGCAATTGCTCTCTGGCTGTTTTTCTTTTCCTTGATGAGTCTTTGGAAAGCAGATACGTTTGCTTAGGCAGCAGGTCTTTTTTCCCCCTTCGCCTATCACTGTACATTTTTCTCATAGATTTTGATTGGTTATTTTATCTAGATACTTTTTTGTTGCCTACCATATGAAAGAAGACCTCACAATTCTGGATAATTTTTAAATGCAGTTATTTTCAATCTTTTGATAATGAAGAGCCCTACCATTTAAAAGACTCAGATATTATCTTTGGGAATCATGGACTATTTCTAGGAAACTCCACTTCTGAATTTTCTGTTCACAACCCTGACCTCAGACTCCGGATTTTTTGCAAGGTGACCTTAAGAGCACATGTTTCCTGAAGGGAAGATTTATCTATCCCTCTTTATCAGTTACTGCAACTCTTAGGAGAATTGGATTAGGGGTGGTGTGTGAGATACCATGCCCTGCTCTGAATTGATGGAAACCAGTTTGGTGGTTCCCACAGTCCAATTTCTGGTTCTAGGATTCCTCTTGATTGCTGATACTTTCTTAGCTGGTTGAAAATCACTGCTTTAGTTAACCGCTACTGGTTATGTTATGTGAGTATATTGCTGGCAAAGGCTGATCACTGATCTAATCCGTACAAAAGGGGGGCTGTAATCAACACAGAAGGGGCAGGATTAGTTGGAGGTGGGGCTTCACCTGCTGCCATCTCTTTGCTCAAGAGCAAAATCAACAAAATATTGGGTCATTGTAACTGCTGCCGCAGTGGCTATTTTGAGTACCAAAAATCAAAAACTGTTTTAAAGTATCAGCGGAAACACAGCAGTCCACATTTTAACAACTCAGAACTCTCCAGGCACATAGAGAAGTTCACTTTCTGAAGAGAAATACAGTGAGGTTAAGTAATTTTAAGGATATAACTTAGCACTAAAAATATTGGGCGATTAGTTTACCATCAATAATAAACTGTTAAATATACTTCTGTGAACTTTCCAGGGCATCATATTCTGGGTTATTGTTTATATATTCTAGTGTAGACAAGTTATAGTTTCCTTGGAAAAAATTCTAAGTGATTAAAATTAGATTTAAAATGTAAAGGATCACATTGAAGTCAATTTGTGTTAACTATATTAACTATCTTAGTCACTCGTGTTATTGTAACGTTTGTTTTTTGACCACACATTTTGAAGCCTAAGAAAGGTATATCGATAGTCTGTTATTTAGTGTTTTATTAGAAACTGAATGTTAACAAAAAGTTTCTTGTGTGTGTGAAGGTGAGACTTCCTTCTGTATTGTAGCAACTTTAAAAATGTATTCAGTAAGTGAAACCAATGATTAGTGTAGCACCAACACTTTCCTTCAAGGAAGCTTTTAATTCAGTGAATAAAAGATCTTATAATTTGTTTTGCATGGTACAATGGTTCTGCTAAAATGTACTTAGTAGATTTGTAATAGGTACTAGATGATTTTAAAATGAAAACTGAAAAACCACAAAAAGAAAAATCCTACAGCTTGTTATACAAAATATGCATTGCTAACAGTAGAAGCCATATATTGCCATTGCACTGTTGTACTACTTACGAACGCTTATCTGGTGCTACCTGTAAACTATTTGGCATTAGTGTCTGCTTGACCCTTCTTCCTGTTTCTTCTTGAATGTATAATGTGTGCCTTTAAGTTACTTCTGGTGTCGAATGGTAGAATCAGTGTGGTATTTTTGTATTATAATCTGCACTTTATACTTTCTTGGAAAGTAAAATTCCAAACTCTCCAGTTTAAATAGTATTTTAAAAATATTTATAATGTTTACAACAAATATTTTGAATATTTTAATTCAACATCTGAGATAAGAAAAAATTTTAAATATTTTGTATGGTTTCTTAATTGATATTTAATGTTGGTCTCTTCTCAGTTTATTTTATATATTTTAAGATGGCTAAAAATGGGAATAGATTGTAGTTTGTCTTTTAATGTGGAAGTAAACTTTTAACTTCCACATGGGTATAGTTGGATTGTCTTACCAGTTGTTCCAGCATACCAACTTTTATTTTTATTATTTTAGCAACAATGAGTTCGATGTTACTCTTAGCCAACCCTATTAAGATTCTCTCCTTACTTTTTTCTTTTTAAAGTAGATTGATTGATTCAGGTTATGAGAAATTTCCAGGGTTAAATGAAAAAATATAGAGAGATTTTAATAACTTGCTTTTTACATAGACTAAATATTAAAAGTGACTAAATATTGAAAGTATTAAAAATTTTTTATTGAAAAATTTGGGTTATGCTCTTAGACCTTTTTACTGGATCTCTATCCCCCTCCCAAACTTTTTTCTAATTCTCTAGCTTTTGGTATGACATCTGTTGCCTCAAAAATCTCACTTTTCAAAAGCTGACAGAACTTACTGCACTATTGACAGCAACTGTAGCAAATGAGTTTGTAGTAAGATGGATGCAAGGTATATTCTGGGAAATAATTATAAAGTCATGTTGCAACAATAGTCATGTAAAATAGTGCTTGACAGGCTAAATCTTGAAAATGGACTATGCCGAGCTTCTGTATAAAGCTGATGTTTAATAGGAAGCATTCATGATGGATGATTCATCTTGAAAATAAGATTTTATTTTATGCAAATCCTTTATCTGAGGAATAATCTGTATGTGTGTATATATTTAATTTCTGATGACAAGAAATATAGTATCCAGTCAGCTATAGCATCAATATATATAATCTACTTCTCTACAAGCATATTATATGTATATATATATGTCTATTCTAATTTAACATGTTTTTGGTATTTATTCCCCTTTTTGTCATAGCATTCTTGCTCATATGACCTACAGTAAATAAAAAACTTCTGACTAAATGTGAAATTATGATTTTATAGTCATTTTCTAGGCTTTATCATTTTATAAGCTTAGTAAGCAGTGGATTAGGTGCATTAGTTTTAGTTAGGCATTAAAGTTAGAGTTAAGAATTTCTTTTTCACATGCTATTTAATTTAAAATGCCTTTTAATTAAAATATAATATTAAAATTGGCTTTTTCCCCTTCCCCTTACTATCTGTTTTGTCTTGTTAATAACTTGCATCCATCGGAAACACTTAGTGTTTGTTTTGGGTCTTTCCTTTCGGTCACAGGAAATATTTACTTAAAGAATGCCTTGTTTACTATACCTCACTTAGAATGACTTTTATTTCTCGTGTATTAATAAATGTATTTCTGCACATTGCTTTAAAATACTTGCATCTTTGCTCTTTTCTAACTCTGAACTTTCCTCTGTGGCTGCATTTGAGGTGCTTTTTTCAGGTATAGTTTTTTTTCTTTCACTATATATTTTTCCAGCATTTATATTTAGTTCATCTTTTTTCTTTCAAAAATGCTCATCTGAACAAAATTTTAATATAATGAATTATTAAATAGTTACGAGTCATAAAAATGAATGTTTATTAATTTTTTTCATTGTATAAATTTTAAAAGTGTCCTTATTTTACTTTCATGCAGGTGATGAAACTTATCAGGACATTTTTCGTGACTTTTCCCAAATGGCCTCCAATAATCCAGAAAAACTAAATCGTTTCCAGCAAGATTCACAGAAATTCTGAATTTTTTTAAGAAGGGGAAAAATTTAAATCTGGTGACTTCCTAATGTATGGATATGAAAACTCACAAATTTTTACTACTTTAATTCTACTTAATTTTAGTTGATGTTGAGTAGTTTGGAAAAAAGGTACCCACCCATTCATTGGTATAAAGTAAAACAGGGCTTTAGTAGTTTGAAGAGAAGCCTACTTTAGGACCTCAAAAAAGGAAAAGGGCCTGTTTAAAGGGCTATTTTTATAGATAAAAGCTGACTCTAGACTTAGATCATCTTTAGGTTACTAGATCCTAAGAGTTTAGACAAAAATCTCTTTTTTTGCTAGTGGATGGTAGTATTGCTTTTTCTTCTATGCATTGTGCCTAGTGTCATTCAGTTAAGCATGTCTTGCATCACTGGGAGCCGACCGTCCTGCATGTCTCAAGAATATATCTTTTCTTTAGTTTCCTGGATAATTTTTAGTGGTTCAGAAATTGTTTTGTTTTGGTAGCCTAGCTGTCATACACAATATGGAATTTAATTATTAACGAGAGAGTATGTTTCCCGCATTTGCTCATAAATGCAGTTATACTCCTTAGGTGTCTGGCTATTGTCCAGTACTTTAACATATGGTCAGTGGCTGTACAGGTAGATACAGCTCAGTCCTTCAGTTTTATTCCATTTTATAAAGCAAAAAGAAGCCCTTAACAATTTTTTAAAAATCACCAAAAGATTCTCAGTTATAGAAATTGTAGTTATTCATTGTTGGGTTGACTTCTTAAAATCTTGACAAATTTATTGATGTAATAAAACTGTGTTTCAAAGGTTACTTGAATGCTGCAAAATTATGCTTTCGTCAGATTATAACTTTCAAAGGAAAAACTGATTTATTAAATAATGTAGAACATTTTTATATTTGAAATTTGTCCTTCTCAAGATACATTTTTGCTGTTGGTCATTGTGAAAGAAAAACCTCTTTGTAAAGGGAGAAAAAAACTTCACGTTTTTCTTAGCTTTAACTAAAATATGACATTAAATTGCCTTTTAATTTTTCCAACATCTATCCTGTGTCCTTGGTGTACACAGTGTATATTCTTTTAAATTGTAACATCTGTATATAGCTTTAGTATTTGGTTATATGAATCACAGACCCTTAAATTCCAAAGTATTATGGATATACAAATTTACCATTTATCTGCTTTAAATTAGTCTGATTCCATCTTTGGTTGACATATCTTGTCAAGAGTATAAAATAATTTAGTAATTTGCCTATGGTTTCTTTGTAATATTGTCAACAATTAAGTTTAATCTTCTTGTACAAGTTACATGTGTTATTATTGCTCATACTGTTTCTAAATAAGGGAGGTTTTTAAACTTGAGTTATCAGATAAGTAGGTAAATAATATTTGATTGGGTAGAAGTACATTTTCTAACATCCCTTCCCCCTAATAACTAGAGTTTTATAAATTAATTGACCATCAAAATGGAATCTGTCTAAACAGGAATTACACCGAAATAAATTCACATCACATAAAGGTTCCATGTTTGGCCAAATTGCATGCATATAATGCTTATTTAGTAATAATCACTGCATATTAGATAAGAATAAAAACTATTTATGAATTATTTCTAAGAAAATGCTAACTTCTAAAGCCTTGTATTGTAATTAAAACAATAACAGGAACATGAAATCTCTGTTTCACCTCAGAGTCACAGATTATCTGGCTTGGCAAAAGTCTGATTTATAACATTTTTATTAGAATGTAATTTGAGATCAATTTTTTTAAAAACTCAATGATAAGGAAATATGTTGAAAACAAACAGAAAAAGAAAGAAGAAAAAGAAAAGAAAGAAAAAGAAAAGGAAAAAAAGAAAGAAGAAACAAACGAGGAAGGAAGGAAGGAAAAGGGAAGGAAAGAAAAAAAAAAAAGAAGAAAAGAGCGCCTCACTTTTCCTTTGAAGTGCCTCTTTCTGTTTTAATCCTAGGACTTCACTCCTAAAGCTCCTAACCCTTATCTGAGGAAGCCTAGGCAGTTTCCTTCTGGATCCAGCCATTGGTGCTTCAGAAAACCTCTGGGATCTCTAGCTGTGAAAGCAATCCTTCATGACACTCTTACCTCTTGTGGCTTGAGTCATGAGTTGTTAATGTGGCAGAAATTAGTGTCTACTTATATGTAATGGGTAGAGATGTATTTAAAGTACACTAAAGTTGATCATGGTTCTGAATATTTTTAGAGAAAGCAAAATCTTTAACAGTACAGGCAGTCTGGTACTACAAAAATACATTTTTGTGGCTTGACTTTTTTGAATATGCTGGGCACATAATTTGGATTAAATTTGGCAGAAATGATACAGTAAACAGCAAAACTATAAAGTATAATAGTTACAAATAGTTACAAAGTAGGGTGGCTCTTACCAGGGTAAGTTTAGCTGTGCCAACTAATGGCTTTTCTTTATAGTATGTAACAAATCTGAATTTTATTACCTGTGAATTATTCAGTGCGTTATGAGAAACTACAGTGTAAACAATGTTAATCATACTCTTGGGCTTCATAGGTCATCGTGATTGCCCTTTGTTTTCTTTCCCTAACTGATCTGCTGATAGTTTCTGATTCTCATTTATTCTGTTAGCTGTATCATCAGCTTACATCATTAGCTTATTAACTTAAAAGTTAGATTAATATCAAAATAGGAATATTGTTTGCACTATGAGGAGTTCATTAGGTGCAGTTTCATGTTAGAACTAGACTAAAGGTAATTGAGTAGTTAATTGTAATTTTATAAGGTTTTAAAAATTATCTTTGGTACAGTCCTTAGAAATTCAAGAATTTCATTATAGTGTTTGCCTAATTTATACTGGTCTTCACTATAGATTTTATTGAACTTTGTTGTTCGCTTCCCAAAATGTATAGATTTAATTTGGAATATGTAGTTTGGTTCTTCATGAGTCCATTTTGAAAAAACAATAACAAACGTATACCTTTATAATCTGGACAACTCAAATTTGTGATGTGTTAAGCAGTATTTTAGAAATATAATTTTATAAATGTAAAGTATGGTCACAATCGATCAAATTGTATTTAAGACTAAATTTACTACCCATTTTAAATAATAACACATTTCCATATCACTCTTAGATTGTCAAATTAACTTTTCTGTTTGATAGCACCTTTGACAATGGACATGGGCTGGAAAAATGATGTTTCTATAGAATTGTCTGTCCAGAATGACTTCAGACCTGCATGACATAGTGGAAAGAGCACTGACTAATAGTTACTATTCTTTTTGGATTCAGAGCTCCTCACAAATAAAACGAGTAGGATGAAGTGAAGTGAAACTGTAACAATATCCCTTTGTATACTGTTCTGCTGTTCACGGTGTCTTTTGACAGTATTTTATCTCTCCTGATTTCACAGTAGGGCTTCTGCGATCTTACTCTAAGAGCGCCAACATTGTCTCTTCTTTGATCTGGGCTACTCCTCTTGTTTTACAGAGGGGGTCACTGGTTTGCTGGTTGGTGACATAGATGACACCAGAACCCTTGTCTGACTGACTACTTGAGTAGTTGGAGGCACTTTATTTGTATCATGAATTGATTTGAAATCATTGTAAAGCAGCAACATCTGATAATGGCTGCCAGCTTTCCTTGTGTTTTGATAAAGACTGCAAATATTCTGGAGAATCTGGATATATAATTACCTTGAAGGAATAGATTAGGATTTGAAGGCATTAAATTGTAGGAAAATTCACATTTTTGCAATAACAAACATTAATGAAAGCAAAACTATGCAAAGGTAATTTTAATTTACCATATACAGACATACTTCGTTTTATTGCGCTTCACAGATGTGACCAGCAAAAAGATTATGACTTGCTTTATGGCAATACTTGATTTATTGTGGTGGTCCCTGAGCATCTATGAGGTATGTCTGTATTTACAAATTTCTTGATGAAGATAACTAAAGGGGGCTTGGATTCAGTTTGGTTGAATCCTGACATCTACAAATATGATTTTGTGGATATCCTTTTCTGTTTACATAAATTTATCTACTTAAAATGAGATAATGGGGGGGAGGGAAGCAAGGTTTGATTAAATAAACTTTTCTCTGTATTGGTCTTATCACTATTTTATGTTCTAGATTTTCTTATTTTTCCTTAACACCCCTCCCCACCTTTTGGGTGTTAATTTTAAACAGGGAAAGCTGGCTACATTATAAAGATTGCTGACACCATTTATTTTACACAAAGGCTAAAGGTTCCCTTTTGGAAACGATGAGCTACTTTTCTATATGTGTTTACTTGTGCTTTGTGGTATTTTTGGATCATTCCAGTCATAAGGACTCATTACATGTAATATTTCTTGCTACCTGTGAAAGGGTATATTTTAAAGAATGTATAACCAACACGTCATTTACTTTTTATTAGTATGTAGAGGATTTGTATCTAATTCATGAATGTAGGTTTACTGTAGTTTGTCATTGTAAATGGAACAAAGTACATTATCCTTATAGTTATTCTAAAATGTACATTATGTAAGAATTGTAAATACTACACTTGATTAAATACTTTGTATGCTAAAAAATTATGTCAATAAAAATTTCACCCCTGGCGCAGTTGTTTTATGCTCAGATTTTCACTTTATTGTAAACTACAACTGCAGACTTATGTGTTAACAACTGTCATGTTTAAGGTCCTATGTTCCTTTCCACCCGTCAGATTGCTCCAGATTGCTCCTATTTCCTGATTGCTTCAATAAAGAAACCAATTTTGATCTTTTTTTTTTTTTTTAAAATATATCTTTATTGATTTCAGAGAGAGGAAGGGAGAGAGAGAGTTGAAACATCCATGATGAGAGAGTCATTGATGGGCTGCCTCCCACGCCCCCGACGGGATAGAACCGTGATCTAGGGATCTCCAGGATCCTAGGTTGATGCTCAATCACTGAGCCATGCCCGGCCGGGCCATTTTGATCTTTTAAACATTTTCTCCTGCCTGATCACTGAGTTGTCTGGCTCGCAGTTCATTTGATAAAAACCACAAAGGCTTTTGGGATCCTCGCTTCTTTTTCCATTTTGATTGACATATATATTGAAGTTTCTAATCTACACCACACATTCACACTCAGTGGTCTTAGTAAACAAACAAAGACAGGTTTTTATATGAATTGAGATGGAAGGAATGGAGGGATTGAAAGAACAGATTTGGAAGTGAATCTTCTGCTTTTGTTTTTTTTAAAAGCAAATTGAAAGCAGACACATAAAACTTTTCTATATAACTTGCTTTATTCCACTCGGTTTCATTTTCAGAATAGTTTTATGAAGAGAATCCACACTGCTAGTCAGTAAATGTTTGAAATGAAAACAAACCTTAAATTACAATAAGTAAAAAAGAAGCTAATCATCCATAATTCCATCATCTGCCCATGATATCTAGTATGGCATCCACTAGCTCCAAGGGGCTACTGAAATTTAATTAAAATTACACAAAATTAAGAGTTTAATCTGTCGCACTGCCACATTTCAAGAGCTCACTAATGTGCCTTGTGACTGCTGTTTTGAACATGGCAGATAATAGAACATATCCATCCTCGTAGGAATTTCTGTTGGTTCAGTACCGAGGGGAAAACTTACTTCCTTGGTACCTGTCCCTACATACCTTTGGGTATATGTGCTTATATACAGTGGAATCACACTGTTTTGTTACCTGCTTCTTTCACATAATAAATGGGAATCACATTTTTAAGTCCTTAAGTATTCTACATCAGTTTGGGAGGATTTATAAAAATACTTTATTATGAAAAATTTCAAACAAAAAGAAGAGGAATAACTTCAATAGCCATTACCTCATGGCTAACGTTTTATCTATGCCTCCACCCATTTTTTCTGTTACTGGGATTGTTAAAAAACCAAACCCCAATCATTTAACAAGCAAATCATTCACTATGTATCTCTAAAAGAAGGACTCTTTAAAAAAAAAAAAAAAAAAAAGCCAGATCATAATGCCACACTTCTTTACACTAGAAAACTATATAGTCAGTATTCAGATTTTCACGATTGTCTCAAATGTGTGTTTTAAAAATAGATTCTTCAAATCAGAATTCATGTTTCATTCAATGTAGTTGGCTAATATGTCTCTCAGGTCTCTATAGGTTCTTCCATTTTTTTTTTTTTTATTCTACTTGCATTCATTGAATACATGTCTTTCATTAAAAACATCATTTTAGTGTAGCCCCTTTATTGATGAATATTTGATTCCAGTTTCTTGGCATCAAAAACCTAGCTCTGCTTTATCTTTAGGGCTAGATATTTGAGTGCATTCTTAACTATTTCCTCAGGATGAATTCCTAGACTGCTGGTTCATAATGCTGGTTTACGAGTGGATATGTTTTTGTGGCTCATTCAATGAGTCAGGCACTGTGTTAGGTATTGGGGATATTATGGTAAAAAGGTAGACACACCTGTTCTCTTGGAGTCTTGCCTTCTTGAAGCAGAGAAGGATGGGCCTCAGCCGGACACTGGGTTGGTCAGTGTTTAGAGACCACTTGTCGAGGCAGTGACATCTAAGCCAAGGTCTGGAGCAGAAAGAGAAGTTGGCTGGATGAAGGCCTAGGGCAGTGCTTTTCAAACTTGAGTCTGTAAAACAGTTACCAGTGAGGCTCAGACTCATTGAAGATAAAGAGGGCCTGAGACTTTATGTTTTTACTAAGACCCCCAGGAGGTACCTCTAATGCTAACCAAAATTTGAGAACCACGGTCTTAGGGAGAAACCGTTTGGATAGAAGAGAGTACTGAAAGTTCTCTTAGAGGCCAGAAAGCTTTTAGGATTGCCAGAGGGTCCTCCAGAAAAGTACCAATAAACAAACCCTCATCTGCTGTGAAGGAATTTGCCTGTTTCTTTGTATTCTTGACAATATTGGGTAGTAAATACAAAAAATAAAAATCTTATAATCTACCCCATGTTGCAGATGTAGAAATCATACAACAGGAAAAACCAATTACCTCTCATCTCCTCCTGTCAGAAGTCGGAGAACTTGGCCAAAGTTAAAGTTAGAACTGAAGAGTAATTGTGCTCCCCAAAATTCTTTGTCTAATTAGCAATACACCCAGATGTACCTATTTTAAGCTGAGGAAACAGCACACATCACCAGCTGACCCTACATTCTTTTTCTTGTCTGTTTTCCCAGCTAGAATGTAAACTCCAGGAGGGCAGGGATTCTAGTCTTTTCACTGCTGTGTTCTCAGACGCTACTATGCTTGGCATGTAGTCACTTGGTATCTACTGAATAACTCGGGCTACCTTCAACTCACTGTTTTAACTTCCAGTCAACAGTATTCTCCAGGAAGCTGCAAAATTAGTTTTTCATATGATCGAAGAATTGGGGGTAAAAGAATCTTGAGGTAAGACCAGTCCGTTGAGTATTTTCCTGTGTCTGCTGATTTTCTATGTAAAATTTAAATGATCTTGTTATTTATTTTTTATTCATAAATTCCAGGAGTACTGAGGTCTTACAAAGGCCTGAAGAATAAAATATTTGTTGGATAAATTCTAGAGTAAGGGGAAGAGGGAAAAAACACCTTATTTATTTTATTTTTAAAATATATCTTTATTGATTTCAGAGAGAGGGAGGGAGAGAGGGAGAGAGAGAAACATCAATGATGAGAGAACCATTGGTCGGCCGCAGCCCGCAACCCGGGCATGTGCCCTGACTGGGAATCGAACCCTGATCGCCTGGATCCTAGGTTGACGCTCAACCACTGAGCCACGCCCAGCTGGGTGAAAAAACACCTTATTAATGGTATAGTGCAGGGGAGTAAAAGGCACAATTTGAGAATTATTTCTCCCTTATAATAATCATTATAATCTAATAATTGCTTATTAGCTGTAATAACTAGCACACTGCTGGGGACTTCTGTGGAACATGTAATGAAGTCTTAATGGAAATTTGGGATTTAGTCTTTGTAAATACCCACGAAAAGCTATGATTGCTAAATTATATGTTACTGATATTTAGATTTTTTTAGAACTTGGTGTTTCTAGCATAGTTTATATTTGCTTACTACGTGTTAGGTACTGTTCTGCTTTTTAATCTACTTTCTCTCAGCCCCATGAGGCACAGGTACTGGTGTTAGCCCCATTTACACATGGGTGTAATCGCAGCTCAGAGAGATTTAGTAACTTGCTTGATGTCCATCAACTTGTAGTGGCGGAGGGGTCTTCCCGCCTGGAAGTCAGCTCTCCTAGCTTGCTCTTAAGCTCTTCAGAGAGCTTGTTCTCTTAACCACAGTGTCATCTGCTGCAGGTTGTGGTACAATACACACAACTTGGAGCTCAGATGACTGCTTTCAGTGCTAATCTTGGCTAAAAGCTTGAGCTTTGGATGCAGTGAGACTGGGGTTAGGATCCAGACTCCATTACTCACTAGTTAACTAGATTTGGACGATTTATTTCTCTCAATCTTAATTTCCTCAGTTGAAAAGTGCAAATATTACCTCTCACAGTTGTGAGGATTACATGAGCCAAAGTAAGAACCTGTTACTCAACTGAGTTAATGCTGCTGTTGGTTTTTTTGTCTTCTTTAAAAAGGTGAGTAGCATGCATTGAACTTGCTGCCAAGCCTGTTTCAGAGGTTCAGTGTTTTTCAGAAAAGTGTTGCTCCAGTTGAAAAGAACAGGAGTTAAAAATGAGATGAGTTGTGGACTGGGGCCCACACTTTGAGGAGTAATGGCATGGCACAATAAACGTGAGAGAATTTGTACGTGCATTTGTCCATGCGTTTTCGCCCCCACCTCTCAGGCATGCAGACCTTCTGTACATGTTTACTCACACTGTGGTGTAGCATCAGTCCTTAGGAGACTGAAGTTGGTTTTTATGTAGTTGACAGTGTCCAACTGTCCAGGGCCAATACTGCCAGTGTGTGTGACCTTGGAGAATTTCCCTCAGTGTGCCTTAGTTTAGAATTTGCAAAACTACCTCGTACATAGTAAGGCTTTTTAAAAGTGTTGAAGTTTGTTAGAAAAAAGAAAAAAAGAATTAGTGTCACAATCTCTGGTATTACTCCTTTGGGGCCCTGAACTATTTAGAAAATTTGGGCGGCGGGGTCCCCCTGCTGGCCACATCCTTGAGATGCTTCTGTTCGGTCTTTGGGATTAGTGGGGTGAAAGGCCATTTCTATCCGCCTCAGGTGTCAACTCTGCTTCACCGTGAACGGGGAAGGACCTTGCTGGTTTAAATTCCCCACCCTAGCTGGTCTCCAAGAAATTAGGGCGGGAAAGGTGTGGAGAGAACAATTTTTCTCTGCGTGCAGTATTGCGTTTTGGCTAACAGAAGGTCCTGCGTTGGGGCGTCTCCATTCCTTTCAAGGCTTGGCTTCGATCCTAGCGCCCGTGGCTAGGCACCTAAGAGGTGCAGTCCTCACTCACTGCTCCGACGGCACTGGGGCCGCTCCCGCCGACGCGCGGTTCATCCCGGCTTTGATCCCGTTGAACCTAGGACCCAGCGGCTGCCCGGCGGCCCTGGCCACGCCCCTCCGCGCACCAGCGCTCGCGGATTGGCTCTGTGCAGCGTAGCCCCGCCCCCGCCATGGCCGCCGCCGGCCGCCGGTGCTGCTAAGTGGCTGCGGGGCACCGGGTCTCCGCGGCTCCTCTCGGGCTGCTAGGTCCCCCGGTCCCCGGCGCATGGGTATCCTCCGAGGCGGGCCCCCATGCGCTCGGGCCATGGCGCGCCTGGGCGCCGTGCGCTCCCATTACTGCGCGCTGCTGCTGGCCGCGGCGCTGGCCGTCTGTGCATTTTACTACCTAGGCTCGGGCCGGGAGACCTTCTCCAGCGCCACCAAGAGGCTGAAGGAGGCCCGCGCCGGAGCCCCCGCTGCGCCCTCGCCGCCGGTGCCGGAACTGGCGCGCGGTTCCGTGGCGCCGGCCCTGGGTGCCAAGGCCAAGAGCCTGGATGGCGGCGGGGCCGGGCCGGTGGACTACCACCTGCTGATGATGTTCACCAAGGCGGAGCACAACGCCGCGCTGCAGGCCAAGGCCCGCGTCGCGCTCCGCTCCCTGCTGCGCCTCGCCAAGTTCGAG